CCATCATGTGGCATGTATTGCAGTGCTGGATTCTGCCCAGTCATGGTGCTACTACGGTGTCAGCATTTCCAGAAACCCGGCAGGGGTCATGAAGGCCTCCCCACCAGGCATCGTCTTCGTTCTGACATCACAAAAGGGTTTTATGGGCGTCTTCCTTTTCATATAAATTACTTTCGCCTGCACCAGAAGGTTCTTGACTATTTTTATGATTGAAAGAGCGTGACATTCTCCTGGCCAGGTCTGTGGGGTGCTTCTCTGTGAACGCGTCCAGTTCCTTCATGAGGTTCATCTGTTTGAGCTTCAGTTGATTTATTCACAAAACTCTCCACTTCATACGCATTTTCAAGTTATTTGTGTAGCGTGTTTCTCTAACTCTAAATCTGTTTTCTCTTTTGTTCTAATTTTATGTTTCTATGTTCTTTGAGTATCTAGTCAGCGGTATTTCTGCTCTACCTCCACCTTTGTAAAAGTCTGTGTGTGCATATATGGTAAAATCACATTCCGTAGCCAAATTAGCCTGGGACTCACTGTATAGCCTAGGCTGACCTGGAAATATTGCAATCCTCCTGCCTCCTGAGGCTTCAGAATAATTTCCAGCCAGGATCCATGTTAGAGTACTTTACATTTCATAAGTAATGTAGATTTAAAAAAAATTCAAGAAGTATGGAGCAAGGCAAGGAGATCAGAGGCTCAAGGTCATTCTCTGCTACATAGCAGATTCTAAACCAATCAGGGCTGAGGGAAACCCAGTCTCAAAGCAAACACAGAGAACAAGACAATAAGAGGGTCAAGTATTTCAGAATGTGCACCTGCTGCTTAAAGCAAGAAGTCAGGGGAAGAAGAATGTGTTTCTGCCATAACTGTAAATCTAGACAGACTCAGCAGTGCCTGTGGTGGCTAAGAGACCAAGGTGATGCCCAGAAAGTGAACATTGAGAACACGCATCCTCTGTAGGTGCGTGAGTCCTGTACTCTGCACCTGGACATCCCAGACAAACACCTGACCCCGGTGGCACTGTGGGGAGAGGGCAAGGATCTCTAGAAGGTGGGGCCTTCTAATGGGAAACCCTTAAGACAGTGGGGATTAACACTTTGCTCCAGCACGCGGATCTGCAGCCCTCACCAGAGGGCCAAGGTGCAGTAGTCAGTCCCCCTCAACTGGGCCTGGGACCTCCAGAGTTGTCCGCTAATGGTAATTTTTTTTCCTTCTAGAAGTTCATTGTTTAAATATTTTATTTTTAATTTTTAGTTTTTTGAGACAGGATTTCTCTGTAGCTTTGGAACCTGTCCTAGAACTCACTCAGCAGACCAGGCTGGTCTCAAATTCACAGAGATCCTCCTGCCTCTGCCTCCCAGTGCTGGGATTAAAAGTGTGTGCCACCCCCACCTAGTGTAGGAAGTCCTTCTGTATATGTGTTGCTTTGATTGGTTAATGAATACAGAAGCTGCATTAGCCTGTGATAGGGCAGAGTAGAGCTGGGTGGGAAACCTAAACTGAATGCTGGGAGAAAGAAGATGGAGTCAGTGAGAAACCACATAGTCACCACAGGAGACAGATGCCCCTGTGGAGCCTGCCGGAAACTTGGTGATGAGATTAATAAAGATGGGTTGATTTAAAATGTAAGAGTTAGCTAGAAATATGCATAAGCTAATAGGCCATGTAGTATTGTAATTAATAGAGTTTCTATGTGATTATTTTGGGTCTGGGCAGTTGGGAAATGAACAAGCAGCCTCCGACTACAATCACCTAGCAAATATTTTATTATAGTAACAAACAAGCACAAAAAGCAGACTTGTTGGGGCTGGAGAGGTGGCTAAGCAGTTAACACATGTTGCTCTTGCAGAGGACCTGGGTTTAGGTCCCAGCAGTCACACTGGGTGGCTCACAATGGCCTGTAATCTCCAGGGAATCCGATGCCCGCCTCTGGCCTCTTAAGTCACCTGCATAAATAGGTACATACAGTCAAACATACATATAATTTTTAAAGAAAAATTTAACCTGGGATATGGGATAAATCAAAATGAGTCTTAAGTTTGAAGCAATTGCCATGAAATAAAAGTAAGAATAGTTCAGTAGAAGAAAACTCAGATTATTCAGTGAGAAAAAGGAGAACACCACTGAATTAATGGACATTTTAAATATGGTGTTAAAACCGGGTTTTTGATACAACTGATTATTATAGTGAATTAAGTTAGAATTAAAGATTGAAACAAAGTAGACATAAAAGTTGCCAAAACTGACCAGACAGTGGTGGCACATATCTTTAACCCCAGTTAAACACTTGGGAGGCAGAGGCAGGTGGAACTCTGTGATTTGAGACCAGCCTGGTCTACAGAGTGAGTTCTAGGACAACCAAGGCTTCACAGAGAAACTCTGTCTCAAAAAACCAAAACCCCCAAACAAACAAACGATAACAACAACAAGCTATCAGGGTGTGAACCGGCTCAACTGCTAAGAGTGCAGACTGCATACAGAGGACTAGGCTTCAGTTCTCAGCATCCACATGGAAGCTTGCAGCCCTCTGAAACTCCAGTCCTAGGCGATCCAAGGCCCCCTTTTGTCTCCTCAGGCTCCCGAGTTCACATGGTGCACACGCATACATTTACTTCTGGCCAGAACTTTGACCAAACATACTTTGTAATGTAATGAGGTTTAATTGGAAGGTGGTAACAAAAGATTACAAACACTTCTGGAAAGTAAAATTATTTGGGAGGTCATTAGGGAGATGAACTTTTAGATCAGAATGATCAAGATCAAATTTGTTATTTCAGCCCAAGGCAGGACTTTAGAAGGAGTTCTGTGGCTTTCAGTAGAACTGAAATCTTAGAACACTGAAGGCTTAGAGGGAGCCACAAACAGAACCTAAAGACCCATGAAGGGAATAACAAGTGAGGACGGGAATAAGTAAAATAAAGGGGGAACCGAGAAGATTCACAAAACTAAAGTTGGACTTCTGACAATATTTAAAAACGTTGAAAAGAAGAAATGGGCCTGGGGAAATGGCCCAATGGGCATTTGCTTCGAAGGCATGAGGAACCAGAGTTCAGATCCCCAGGGCCTGTGTCAATGCTGGGTAGGTGTGGCAGACCATCTGCAATGGCATTGCTTGGGAGATGGAGGCAGGAATATCTGGATAGAGTTGGGTAGATAGATTTGCCAAATCGGTAAGCTCAGGGTTTACTTGAGAGACCTTGCCTCAATACATAAGGTGGGAGACCAAGAAAGAGACACAGTGTCAGTCTCTGACTGCTACATGCATGTGCACACATACAATGTACTTGCACGCACATGTGATCTCACTCATAAATGCATACTGCACACACCAAAATGGAAGAAAACTATATATATTAGAAAAAAAAAGATCCAGAAACAATAGGTGTAAGACCAACAGCATGGTGGTCAGTCTTCAATCTTGCTGGATTTAACATCACCAAGAGACACAATGTGGACTTTGTCAATGAGGTGTTTCCAGAAAGGCTTAATTGAGGGAAGAAAACCCCTAAATGTGGGCAGCACCATCTCATGGGCTGTGGTCCCTAATTGAATAAAACAGAGAAAGTGACAGTGGACACGATGTGACTGGCTGCCTCAGGCTCCTGCTAATGTCCTCCCAGGAGCACATCTTCCCACTGTGATGAACAGTATACCTTCTTAAACCTCATGTTAGCAACTCAAAAACTCAAAGAAATGAATGCTTAGAAAAAGCTCAGTTGCCTGGAGAGCTGCAGACTTGGCCGGGATTAACAAGTGAAAACGGAGTTGTCATCACCATGACTTTTTGGTACTGACATCCTTGAAGATCAGCTGCCTATTAGCCGTATTGTCTATAGTTGTCCAGTATCTTATTCGGGTAATACTGGAGAACAAGAAGGGAAGCGGGAAGCTTTTCCCCGGCTTTTGAGGGAATGGGTGGGAGTCGGGGTAGTAGCTATCAGAAGATGGAGGGTCTGGGCCCACACTGCCAACAGGAATCTTGCGAATTAAGGTGGAGCACCGCCTCCCTCAGGTTGTTGTGGATTAAATGGCTAACAATTTACAGCGCCCAGCAACTGCCAGGAGCAGGGGATGTTGCCCTCAGGGGCTCTTTGGCGAGGAAGCCTGGAGCCCTAAGTTCATGGTCGTATGACGTCATCTCACCCACCACCGCAGTGCGGGGAGTCCTGGTGGGTGAGCTGACCACAGGCCCTGTCAGAGTTATTCAGTCCTGGGCTGCGGTTGGCCCCATGTGCATCGAGCTGCCAGTCAACGCCGACTGAAAGAGGAAAACAGGCGAGTCCGTGAAGGCCGGGTTTGCCACTGAAGATCTAGGGAAGCATGCGGGTTGAGGTCCAGGGAATTCAGACCGGAGTGATAGTGTGTGATGACAGGCTATGACCCATGGAATAGGGGAACAAGGATGAAGTCTCCACCCGAGGGAAGGAGGTGCGGGTCAGTCCTCCGGCTGTGGCGTCATCCTATTAGCAGCACGCCCTGCAATGCTCTGACTTTCCTCTGGTGATCTGGCCCAGGCACCGGAAGCGATTTTAAAACTCACCTGTTAATTCTCTGGAGTCCAGATCCCTAACCCGCCCCACCATACCCTCTTTAGTGAAAGAAGCACCCCAACCCCACACCCAGTGGGTTCTTTTTTTTGTCCCCCTACGATGCACCTGTGTTGATGTCCCTGGGCTCAGCAGGTGGATGTTTTACAGTTTTTATGATTTCGGTTGATTTTGGTTTGGAGTCTGCAGGCAGGATCAGCTCGACGCTACCGAGTCCCTCTCTGGGAGCGAAAAGCAGTGCTGAGCTAGAGGCTGCTGCATCCGAATCCGGGCGTCTGTCCCCCCACCCCTCACTGGTGATGTCACAGCCCAGCCCCAGCCCCCTCCCGCTCCAACCTCATCTCTTCTGCGGCCGCTCGCCCGTCCCTCTCCCCGCGCGACAAACCAGCTGGCGGCTGAGGCTCGGACGCAGCGCGCAGCCAACCAGCGCATCGGGAGGGGCCCGGGGAGGGCCGGGCCGGGGGCACGGAGCTCGTCACGCGGCGCCACCGTCACAGCACCAGGAGCAGCCAGCAAGCAGCATCAGTTCCAGGCTCGGGGACCCTCGCCGATGCCAATGCCCATGCGGGGCCGCCGTCAGTGACGCCTGAGAGGTAAGGCTACGGCCCGCCCGGCCTGTCACCATCCGCGTTCATCCTCCGCGTTCATCATCCCGCACCTGTCTGTAGCATCCGGCACCCGCACTAAGTGTGCACCGGGTGGTGGATTCCGGCCGACGCCAATGTCCTTGTCGCAGCCCGAAGCGCGGGCTTGGAGCGGTGGCTTCCCTTCCCCCGACCTTCCTCCGCCTCTTCGAAGAACAAAGAGGCGAATTCAGGGGTGTTGGTGCTCCCTGCGAAGCTTTTCAGGGCCCTCAGAAAAGACTCCTTTGCTGTCGCGCGACCCTTGGCCCATGTGGGCGGAGGTCGCCAGCGAGAGGGACCAGCAGATTTATTCAGACTCCTTTTCCCCTGTATCCCTGCACTGCAGAGAGGCTACAGAGAGGGATGCGACGAATCCGCGGGGGAGGGGAGGCAGAGATGCGGAGTAGGGACTAGGATAAGGCTGCGGGGCGTCTGGACCGGGCGCGGCTGCAGATCTAGGCCCTAGGGGAAGATGCGCGGGGCAGCCGCTCTGGTCCCCGGTGGGTGGGGGAGGGCAGATGCTGGCGGCGACAGCAAAACAGGCGGGCGGGGCGGGGGATGCGGCGCCACGGACAGGCCACCGGCTTAATGTGCATTTGGTGACTGCCCATCACTCCTATTGCTCCCGATGCCCCTCCCTCCAGAGACCCCGTTTCCCTTCCAGAAAGACAGCGCGGGAGGAACCACCCGTAGACACGCCTGGCGGCTACTAAGCCAGCGCCCCAGTAACAGGTGTGGCCCCCGGCTGGAGGGAGGGGGCCGAGGGACGCGTCGTCTGGGCTAGTGGAGGTCCCCAGGCGTCTGGCATTGGTTAACTCAAGGAACATTGCCAGCGAAGACCCTCGCACTCCCTCATTAAACCACTCCTTGCTCCTACTGCTTCCTAGGGGAAGAGCACCGCCCTCTGCTCCCGAAGGAACAGGGACGGCATTCGGGCTGAGAGGGAGAGGAAGGGTCTGCGGTGCTGTGAGGTGCAGGCTGATGGGGGCCGCAGGCGAGGGAGGGGGAGGGGAGAGAGGGATTGCCAAGTCATGGGGCCTGCTGGGCGCCGGCGCGACGTCGCCCAGGCGCGGACTCGATGCGCGCCCACGTCCCCAAGAATGGGGACTTTTCCCCAGAGGCCAGAGGACCCGTTCCCCAGAGGCTAGCCTACCTAAGAGGGGACCGCATTGCTGGGATTAAAGACCTGCTAGGGTAAGCGGATTGGATCACGCGGCTGCGGGAGGAGGAGGTGCGGAGAGTTCCTGCTCCGCTGAGGGCTGGTGTTAGTCCAATCCGGGGGACCCATAGACTCAGCACAGGCTCCTGCGGAAGACACGGTCACACCAAGCTGGCCGAAGGCGGCTGCCAGGGCAGCGTGCCAAGTGCCTCTGTCTAAGGAGGCAGCGCGGGCTGCAGAGAAGCTGTGGGGTTCGGGGGGCTGGGGACGCACCTGCGGCGGCCATTTTGCAGGTGTGGCTGGTCACCTGCTCTGGTCAGGCTGTGGTGAGCGGGTGGGCAGGGCACGTGCGGGGCACCAGGATGAGGGGTACTGCAGGGTCCGACGCAGGCCTCAAGACTGCTCTAGCTCTGCCCAAGTCTGGTCCCCTGGAGGTTCCTTGCTTTTGGTGGGTGGAGTCAACATTCAAGTCTTCTCTGGCAGAGGGCTATGTCCTCTGGGTGTGAAGCCTGGGAGGGCCCTGTTTCCAAGACAGTGATCCCAACTAGTTGTTTCCTCCTGTAGTGAGGATGGATCTGAAGGACAGGTTGTCCTTCTTGGTTTGTGGGCCACGAGTCAGAGAGATTGCTTTAGGAAGTCCCTGTGTGGGAGATTGCCATATGACCGTGAGGGCTCCCCCACTGGGCACGGCCCGGGCTGAATGCCTCTCTTGCCATGCCCCCTAATGCCCTACTCAGATGGAGTATGGAACCTGCAGATTGCACTAGCCTCAGACAGGTGGAGGCCGGTGCTCTTCACAAAGCCAAAACTGATGAATGGCTGAGTGATATCCAGGTCCAGGCCAGTGGGGTGGGGGGGGGGGGTCTCAGGATCCAGCCTGTTCTGTGCCCAGTTTCCTGTCTCTTGTGCTGATGTGTGCTCTGCGAATGTTGGGCAATACTCCTATGGGCTTTGTGCTGGGTTTGGGGGAGCAGCAAAGACAGGGTAGCAGGTGAATCTGACGGGCCGCAGCAAAAGCCTAGGAAAAGATTATTCAAGGAGGATCATTCTGCACAAAAAATGGTACCCTGGCCAAGCCTTTGGGCAGAGCTCATCTCTCCAAGAACAGGGGTGGGGGTGGGACTCAGTGGAGAGTGACGGGCCTGGGCCACTGAGCTGGCAGACGAATGTGTGATTTGCAGTGTGCAGAGGTCCACATGTTCCCTATGGGCAAAACCAGGGCTCTTAGGCCCACGGACAGAGCTTCCAACGGCCATCAGCAGAAACAGCGAGAGACTCCCCAGGCCCTCCTGATGTTGTAGTGTTTGTTGCTCTACTCCTGAGCCCAGCCAGGGTCCTGGATCCACACTTGACCGACTGACTGCTCCTCCCTCCCGGGTCTTGGTGACTCAAGGTTGGCTGAGCCAGGTCTGCCTTGGTGAAGGTGGGGACATGGCAGGGCTAGAAGATTCAGCCGAGGCCAGCAGCCAAGGCCCTCCTCACTCCTCGGAGTGCCTACCCCAGTCCTGCCTGCTGGCACTTAGTTCCTGAGTTTGCCCTTAGCAAAGCCTACATTTATACCCTATGTTCAATCTAATCCTGGGTGTGGCATGGGCAGGCCAAGACATACAGGTCGTCTGGAGGTCCCCCTCTGTGCCATCTCTTGCTCGGATTTCAGGACTCACATCCACCTACCTGGGTATCCTTCTTAGCCCCCGCCGAATGCCAGGAACCGGCAACAGTGGCAGCCCTGGTCCTAGAAACAGGTCGGGGATTAGAACCAGGCTATGTATTCCTTGCTCAGATTGGCAGTGTCCTTCAATGCTGGTTCCCGCTGATCCCTCATCTTGGCTTGAGCTGGAAATAGGTGAGGAAGGCAAGTGTGGCCCATCAAAGGGTCACTGGCAGGAGAGACAGGGTAGGAGTTCTGGCATCCATCTAGGACTTCCTGGGTACCATTAACTTTACACTGGGACGGACCAGAGGTCAGCTCAAGGGGAGGGGCCACAGGAGCAGTCAGGGTCATTAAGACCCTGAGGGTTTTATCTTCCCCACATTTACCTTGTGTGGCTGGGGCCACACACACAAGATACAAATACACTATGGCACGTTCACATACGTACATGTCTGCACAGGTCATACTCATACACACATACCCCTGGGTAGACATACATACATTCAGTATCCCTGGGTCCCTGATTTTGTTTTGACTCTTCTCTGAATCGTCCTCTTCTGGGCCCTAGATCTTCCTGAAAGGCCTCTTGGGTATTGCCTCCTTTAGAAAGCTTCCTGTAAGTTACCAGCATGAAGGACGCAGACCTACCTTTCCCCATCTTTCCTCTCTCCTGTAGGCTAGGGGCTAGGAAGAAAACAGAGGACATTTATATGACATAAACTGCCCTGTTCCATTGTGCGGCTTCCATTATCTGATACTCTCAGATACTCTCGGATATTCCTCAGCGAGGAAGTGGTAGCATGCCCATTACTGGATGCAGACACTGAGACTCCTGAGAAGTCATGCTTGACTTTTCCAGGCTCCAACAATTGCTGCTCTTTTAGTTCCTTCTGCCTGCCTCCCACCCCTCCCCTCTGCCTTTCTTCTTTTTCTCTTATATCCCTATTCCTTGCCCCTTTCAGCGGGGCAGTATAGTGTCAGCTCCTACCCTTCAGTAAGACTCAGTGAGTACCATCTTTGATCTCCAAAGCCCAAGGTAAGCAGCTGCTACACAGTCTACTGGACTGGGGTAGTCTTAGGTCTGCAAATTTTTGAGGCTGTCTGGGGAAGACATTCTTCCCTTGGGTGGAACTCTAGAGGCCACCACAGCCCCTGACTGTCCCCATAGTCCCCTTTCCTTGAGCTGGCCTCTGGGGATGATGATGCCCAGAAATGTGCTAAAGGGGTGCCTAGACTCCCCACATCTACTCACCTTCCCGGGGACCTCAGCTGCCTGTCCCATCTGTCTGTCACCCGTTCAAAGTAAGAGAGTAAGAGACTGGGCCAGTGAGCACCATTCTGAGGCTGCTTTTCTGGGGGGTGGGGACTTGGCTGCTTCGTGTGATTGGCTTTCACTTTCTGGCTGCTTCTTGGTCTAGGGTCACTGTGGCTGCAGGTGTCCGTGGGACAGGGCATGGAGGAGCATGGAGACTCATTGGTCTGGAGTTTTGCTGCCTGTGCCTTACTTCTGTGCTTCCTCAGGGCTTCCTTTTTTAATATATATATATTTTTAAATTTAATTTTATGTGTATGTGTGTTTTGTTTGCATGTATGTCTGTACATGCATGCATGGTACCTCAGGAAGCCAGAAGAGGGTGTCCCTGGAACTGGAGTTATAGATGATGGTGAGCCACCATGTGGATGCTAGGAATTGAAACCAGGTCTTCTGGAAGAGCAGCCAGGACTCTTAATCACTGAATCATCTCTCCAGCCCTGGCAAGACTTTCTTGATTAGTTTTTTTTTAAAATTTTCTCTAGACCTCAGATTCCTTCGTTCCTTCCTTCCTTCGTTCCTTCCTTTGTTCCTTCCTTCCTTCCTTTCTTCCTCCCTCCCTCCCTCCTTCCCTCTCTCCCCCTCTCTCATTCTTCCTTTTTAAAATTGAATGGATTTCTTTTGTCTCCAAGGTTCCGCAGCTCTACTGAGTCCCTTCTTTCCTGACACCCCAGGCCTGGGAGCCACCTCCTTCTGCCTGACTACCTTCTGTCAGTTGACTATGCCTCCCATCAATTGAGTCTCCGATTCTTGGCCGCAGTGGCTGTCTGTTTATGCTTTTCTATCTTGCTTTGCTGGGGCGCATCCTTTCGAGACTTAATGAAAATGACGCATGACTCTGAGCG